CCAACACGTTGGGGTACCTTAATTGGGTGCTTTAAATCTCTGCGAGCTGCAGACAGCATCCTGAATGGTCTTGTGTCTGAGCGAGATTTCGTTACTGCCGGCGGTGCCAAACAGAAGGAAAAACGGCTAGCAATCCGAGCAGTCATAATGGATCCTGATTTTGTTAAGAAGCTTGATGAATGTATTTGTATCTTGGAGCCCATTGAGATGTATATTAAATTGTTTCAAGGTGATGCAGTCCCGTGCTCTGATGTATACAAAGCCTTTCTGGTCTTGGAAGAAAAGATGCGCAACATGAGTAATATTAGTTCGGAGAAGAAAGAATACCTCGCTAAGCTGGTGCGTAACAGGTTCAACTTCATGTACGGGGATGCACATGGTGTATGCTACCTGTTAGACCCTCGTTACTTGGGCGATGATATGACACGGAGATTGCGCAATGAGATAGAAGATTTCATCTACAACGTTCTAAAGAATGACGGGACAACCAACAAGGAACGACAGGAGCAACTGGCCCGGGAATATACAGCTTTCCGAATTGAGGCACTGAGAGAACGACGGGAGAACACGTTCCGCTTCAGACTCATTGGCCAATCTAAATCAGTTCTTCAGTGGTGGAAGGCTGATGGCACTGATTGGCCATTATTGCTATCACATATCGAAAACTTATAAGTGCAAAAACTTATATCGTGACATGTCTATGTCTTTTATTGTCTTTTATTGTCTTTTATTGTCTTTTATTGTCTTTTATTGTCTTTTATTGTCTTTTAATGAATAAAAGAAAAAAGACAAAAAAATTTTGAAAAAATTGTCTTTTATCCATCCCTGATCTTATATTATCTTGGAAATCACACATTTCGTATGTAGCACGTAAAATGTCTAAATCCATAGGAATAATGTTAAGAGCCAGTTTTTATCTACTTAAGAAATCCTTACTCACTTTGTACTATTCAATTGTTTACCCGTATATCCAATATTGTAATAATGTTTGGGCTTCTACGTATCAATTTTTCTATTTCAACTGGGTAAATTTATGTACTCTTATCGCAGTGGTATTTTACCAAATAAATTTAATCACATGTTTCTATCAAATTATCAAGTCCACTCATATAATACAAGGAGTGTGATGGCCATTAGAACTCCATTGTGTCATACAAATATCCGACAATTTTCTGTAAGATTTCAGGGTCCAAAGTTTTTTAATTAATATTACTTCTTTTGTTTCTTTTAAAAGAAAATTTAAAAATTATTTATTATAAAATAAATAATTACCTTATACACTAAAATGATTTTTTTATTTCTTATATATTTATAACAAAATGAACGAATATTCTTTGTTACTGTGCGCTAATAGAATCAAGTGTGTACCTATTTATAATTGGTGTGAATTTATATTTCTTTATTATCCATTAGTATCTACACTCCTATTATCCATAATTTATCAAATCTTGAAATGTTATTTGATATTTATATATACCCTCGATAAATGAGGAAGTTTAAATTTACATAAGCCTTATGGTTTCTTTTTTAAGCTTCCTCGCCATTATTATCATTAATTATTGTAACTAATTTCTTTTTTCTTTTCAAAATGTTGTAATGGTGGCAAATTAAATTATTATTATTATTATTATTGTAAACTGATATTGTAAATTATAAGTATAAATTAACCTAGTCAAATAAATGGTTCTTCACTCGGACTCTGTCGTGTGAGTATGATCGACTAAGAAGTATATATAGTGCACTCGGGCCTCAGTGGTTAGTACGCCTGTTGTGAAACATAATTTCTTGACTGATAACGATTTCTTGACTGAGTCAGGCACACAGAATTTGCAAACAAGCTTTTCATTTGTGGGATGACGCCTTCCCCATTTTATTTGGGATGATAATCAGTTGTCAAAACGAGGACCGCAAACAACAAAGCACAGCATAAATACAGATGGTGTGGATACCTTGCTGAATGTGAGACGAGGACCTTGTGAAGGTTTAAAAAGTGTGCTGGTCCTGACTGTACCTGCGTTGTATCAAACAGACAAAAAGTCAAAGAAGACCTACTATCAGAACTTGGCAAAATTGACAACCATAATTGGACAGACTTAAACACTGGAGTAAATATTGGGTGAATCACCTTACAATGTTTACAAGGGCATTTATGGAAATGAAGAGAAAGATTGGGAACAAGGGCCATGTACCACCAATCCAGTCGAGTCTTTGAACAGACAATCTTTACAAGAAGGTTCTACTATTCTTCAAGCTTTGATGAAAAACATTTACATCGAAGATCGCCTGCATGTTGTAAAAACAGCAGCTTGCAAATATAACATACCAACATCATACAAAGCATCACCTACTAAACAGGAAAAACAAACGAAAGCACACAAGTATTGGCAATTCAAAAGATGAAGGTCCACCAGATGAACGCAGTTGTTTTCCATAATTTCCATTTTATACCCTATGCACTATATTTTCTTGGAGATAAACTTAATCTGCATGGTGTTTTTATCTTTTAAATTCCCGGAAGTGACTTCAAATATATAGCATTTTTGTCTCGACAATCTGACTAGCAATGGATTGCTAGTATATACCAAAGACTAGCTGGAGCTAGGAGTATAAGACAACCACTCCAAGGGCAAATTCATCGAGACATTTCTGTTGAAATTTTCAAGTCCTTGGCGTGAGCAATCAAATCAAGCAATAACAAGGATTTTCGAGAACCATTCTGTTACATAAAAGGAAACAGTAAAGGGATGGTCGTTTCACTTACAAAAAAAATGTTTGTCAGGGAACACAGAAGAGTATGTCACTTGTTCACTACAGAGAAAGCTAGGAGGTCACAGGAAAGGTGTTGAGAGAAGTATTTTGGTCTCTTATGACAAGGATTTCGCTCTTGTATACAATTTTAAGAAGGGACAGCGTTCTTTATCGTTTCACTATGACGAATGGAATCCATTTGGCTTTCCCATGCATACATGTAAATTTGATTTGCCAGCCAGTTGAACTTTGAGCAGACTAGAAGTACTTTTTGTTTTGTTATTTCATGTTTGATTGTGAAGGACACTAATTGAGTAAAGACATCTGTGGTAATATTTTATCATAACAATTTGGACAGTATACTGTCCACTGAAAATTGCCCAAGTAAACAGCCCCTTAGCATGGGTAAGCTTAGCTAAAGGGCTTATTACATGGGCAATTTTCAGCCAGGGCTAAAATTTCTGCCCGGCTGTTGATGTATGGAAATGAGTTTGATTTGGAAATGTTCAAATTTAGATTAGTTACCTAGAAACTGATTTTGAACACTATTGTGCAAAAGAAGGTAATTTTACATCTTGTTAATATCACATAATACTGATCCCTAGAGTATCTCCTTGGTATAGTCCTCTCTCTCTGATAAGTGTGTGTGGCATTCTCCCACATTTTCATACGTCAACAGCCGTGCTGAAGTTTCTGTCCCCCGGCCTGAGGATTGCCTATGTTATCAGGCCCTTACTAGTCTGCAGTGTTTTTAAATGTTCATGCCAGCAAGGTTGTGGACAGGGGCCCTGGTTCCACACCCCACCTGGTAAAAACATTTACTAGCATCATGGCCATTACAAAGATGCACTCCACACATTTAAAAGTTTAAATTAAATTAAATTTAACATTACATTATTGATAAAAACAATTTGTAAAAACTTTCTAAAGTGGCAATGGCACAAAATTTCACCCCAAATGTTTATGATAATTTCTTTTACAGAATTTTGGTAACTTGCTCCCTTTGCAAGATATTCAACTTTGCTTCATATGCAAATATCACCAGTATACAGTGGGTTAATTACCAGTTATGAAATTAATATATATACTAGAAAATACATGCATGCAGAAACCCTCGCCTTGCTGACAAAACCATTGTATTTTCCGAACATGAAGTATATAACGTAGTTGTCGTGGTAACACAATATTTTTTTAAGAATATTCTTACAAATGAAAAATCGCCTAAAAATATCACTTTTAATTACAAAATTATTAATTTCCCAACATATATATGTTAGGTATGTTATTATAAGTAATATTGGGTGAATCACCTTACAATGTTTACAAGGGCATTTATGGAAATCAGGAGCGGATCCAGCCAAAAATCTGACCGTAGCATTTTCCAAAGACCTCGCATAGCTAGGGGGGTCCGGGGGCATGGCCCCCCGGCAAATTTTTGAAATTTGAAGCCCGGAAATGCCATTTCCTGCGTTCTGAGCACTGCATGTGACCATTAAATTTGTCCTCATTGTATTCATTTCTCAAGCAAAAATAAGCCGAAATGATCTCAAAATGTAAACTATTGCTCGCGTATATTTTAACATACGATATCGGTATGATACTCGTATCATACGCATATCATTATCAATTGAATACCGAAATGCGCGTATCATCTACGAACGCGTGTATCATACGAATACGCAAATCATATGAACGCGCGTATGATATGAATACGCGTATCTTACGAATATATATGCATTACAAACAAATATTAGCGCGCTATAAAACACGATATATATACGCGCGTATCATAATTCGCGTATTAATTCCAATACATGCAGGTATACTGTACATACGCGCACAAACACTTTAATAAAGCGAAGTTAATAGCGAACACTATACAGTAAAACTCAAATTAAAATATAATGTGCATCTCTTATCATTCATAAGGCTTACCTGACTGGAAATGATTCGTTTTACTATCTGATTTTATTTCTACCTTGACGCATATAAATCCTTTAGCTTTACGACGGCTTTCATTTCGAAATGCGCACAACCGTACTGTGGGTTCCCAATAGCATGTTGTTGATGAGCCAAACACAAATATCAGATATTCCATCGTTCTGGAGCAGTAGCCAATTTCATGCCACCGTAGCAAACTATAGCATTTGCCCCATTCCGATTGGTTTGCTACGTTTGACCGTAGCAAACCAATCAGAATGCCGTATATGCCAATTTTCGCTACGGTCAGATTCGACCTTAATGAATCTGACCGTAGCGAAAATTGATCATATATGGGCAACACGCTACGGTGTATTTCTGAAGGATGATATTTTCTAAGCTATAGTCCATTGCGTAATGACCCGCAAACAGGCAATTACAACCGTATTTTCGGGCGGGAATTCTTAAAACAATTAACGTTACGTATTATAAATGTCATCAATTTGTCAAAATAAAATGTTTTAGAACATATAAAACTAAATAAAATAAAACCTTGAAATATAAACAAGGAAAGTAAACAAAATATTGCTAAATTATATTTTAGATTGATTTTATGATCCATGTTAGAACTGGCCTATGGAAAATCTGACCGTAGCATATGCTACAGTTGCAACGGTCTAAATCCGCCCCTGGAAATGAAGAGAAAGATTGGGAACAAGGGCCATGTACCACCAATCCAGTCGAGTCTTTGAACAGACAATCTTTACAAGAAGGTTCTACTATTCTTCAAGCTTTGATGAAAAACATTTACATCGAAGATCGCCTGCATGTTGTAAAAACAGCAGCTTGCAAATATAACATACCAACATCATACAAAGCATCACCTACTAAACAGGAAAAACAAACGAAAGCACACAAGTATTGGCAAGACACTAATTGAGTAAAGACATCTGTGGTAATATTTTGTCATAACAATTTGGACAGTATACTGTCCACTGAAAATTGCCCAAGTAAACAGCCCCTTAGCATGGGTAAGCTTAGCTAAAGGGCTTATTACATGGGCAATTTTCAGCCAAGGCTAAAATTTCTGCCCGGCTGTTGTGTATGGAAATGAGTTTGATTTGGAAATGTTCAAATTTAGATTAGTTACCTAGAAACTGATTTTGAACACTATTGTGCAAAAGAAGGTAATTTTACATCTTGTTAATATCACATAATACTGATCCCTAGAGTATCTCCTTGGTATAGTCCTCTCTCTGTGATAAGTGTGTGTGGCATTCTCCCACATTTTCATACGTCAACAGCCGTGCTGAAGTTTCTGTCCCCCGGCCTGAGGATTGCCTATGTTATCAGGCCCTTACTAGTCTGCAGTGTTTTTAAATGTTCATGCCAGCAAGGTTGTGGACAGGGGCCCTGGTTCCACACCCCACCTGGTAAAAACATTTACTAGCATCATGGCCATTACAAAGATGCACTCCACACATTTAAAAGTTTAAATTAAATTAAATTTAACATTACATTATTGATAAAAACAATTTGTAAAAACTTTCTAAAGTGCCAATGGCACAAAATTTCACCCCAAATGTTTATGATAATTTCTTTTACAGAATTTTGGTAACTTGCTCCCTTTGCAAGATATTCAACTTTGCTTCATATGCAAATATCACCAGTATACAGTGGGTTAATTACCAGTTATGAAATTAATATATATACTAGAAAATACATGCATGCAGAAACCCTCGCCTTGCTGACAAAACCATTGTATTTTCCGAACATGAAGTATCTAACGTAGTTGTCGTGGTAACACAATAATTTTTTAAGAATATTCTTACAAATGAAAAATCGCCTAAAAATATCACTTTTAATTACAAAATTATTAATTTCCCAACATATATATGTTAGGTATGTTACTATAAGTAATATAAGCCTCAGTTTAAGGTAAAATTCAACCACAAACGCTTCGCAAAACGTTTTAGAGACACTAGTGTTCTTTAGAAAACTAAACTCCCTTTTAAAATGGCTTTATCGATAAACTTTGAGTTTGCAATAATATGATTTCAAATTCTCACTTGCAAATAACTTTGCTTTCTTTTTTATTTAAAAAATTCAATATAAAAAAAGGGAATCATTATTAAAGATACACTGAAATTATATGCTGTCTTGTTTAGTTGTTTCATATACGCAAAGGCCGTCGGGTTTTAAAGCCATTATAAAATCAATATTTAAAACAAACTTACCTTTGTTAACATTGGCTCCCTTCTTTTAGCTGTTTCTTTCGCCCTTTCTTTCTTGAAATTTACAAAATCTTGCAAAAAATGCAAGCAAAAATGAAATATATTTGCAAGAAATTTATCAATCATCAAATCAATAAATTTTTGGTATTTCATTGTCGTCATGCAGTTGTTATAATGCAAACTTTAAATTGGAACAATCAGTGTCCGCTATTCACGACAGTCCGCCATATTTTTGAGATCAGTGAGGATGACCACCCATCGTTGGTCACCCACGCCCGTGATAATTGATGAACTTTAGACTTGGCTAATGCTTTCGTTTCTCACACGGCGCTTCGTGCCGTCGGCTCGGGGACAAGGGCAATTTTTTTAAATGCGTATTTGTCAAGAAAACTATACTTTAATGAAAACGCTTTATGTGATGCGATGGCACACTGGTGATATTTGCATATGAATACCAAAATTCTATAAAAGCACAATAAAAGAAATTGTTAAGTCATTTTAAGTACTGCTTAATAAACAAGCAGGAGTGTTTTATTAGGTTTAAAGCCACGGGCGTGCAGCGCGAGTGGCTTTAGACCTAATAAAACAGGACCTGCAAGTTTATTAAATGGCTTCAAACATGACTACAAATTGACATGACAATCTAGTGTCATAATCTAGCTTTGACATCATATGACAAGAATTCTACTAAACAGCCTTGACTAAGTTAAGGAGTGTATTCTGTACATCACCGGTCAGCTGTATCAGATTGTAATACACCCTTTTGATAATTACATCGTTTGGATTTGTGAGCCATTCACCTTGCAGAACTTACTAATGTGAGCGAGGCTCCAAGACCAAAAAGTATGTGTGACGTAATTATCTAAAGGTTGTATTAAAGGATTTGTGGAGTATTACTGTACTTACTGAAGTATAAAAAATACAAAACAAAGGCAACTTCAAATATAGTGTAACAGTGCATTCTTTTTCTAGTCTGATTAGTAAAAAGGGTTCTTGGAAACCCATGCACGTTAGCAAATATGTTTTGCTGAAGAGAATCAGTAGATAACTCTTGAGCTGCAAGTGCATGAAACAATCTGATATTTTCAACTTAAAAGCAAGCAATAAAAGCACAACACATTGACATTATTACCCAAGAAAATATAATGGAGTTTGCAACCCAAAGAAATAGCTTGCAATGCAAAGCTGTATATGAACCCTGGGAATTTTCTGTATCTGTGTGTCATGACAACCTGCAGTGAAGCACCTCAAGCTTAACATGCAACAGAAGCTTTCTTAACCTTTTCCTTAATAACCTGCCTCAACTGGTCACTGCAGAACACACATTCTTCTTGGGCAAAGTCAAATGTCTCTTTCCTCCTCTTCCTAGCTATAAATGGACAGTTAGTCAAGGTGCCAACTGCACTTTGTATTGCTGTGGAACAAGTCGAAGGAGGAATCTTTCGCTGTTCAAAATACCTTTTCCTGCTCGAGGCGACAGAGACAAAACCATCAAGTTGAGTCTGATGCTCAGAAAGAATGGCAAGAGTAATTCTAAGGACACGAGAAAACATGTCAGAGTTGAAAAAAAGAATAGATGGAAATAATATATTATTATGTGAGCTGCATTTCAAACCTGAGTTGATTTCTCAATGTAAGTATCTCTTTATTTTCTTTGTTTTTGTGCAAATATATGGTAATTAGCTGATGTTGTATGGCATTCTATCCCAAAGAGTGTAGAAATGGATACAAATTTTTGGGTTTTAGCTGTTTTTTGCTGTGTTACTTGTCAGGTTTTAGTTCCCAGACAAGACCAAGGCGATGTTATCTGTGAACCATGCAAACAACTACAAAGGAAAATTGTAGCACAGCAAAATCGCAGGACACGCCAATCGAGAACCCCTGCTAAGGAATAAGCTTCCCTTACCTGTTGCAGTGCGGACAAGCTAGGAGCAACAGTAGTGGAAAGTCGCGTAAAGTGTTCTTTGCTCGAAGTGAAAGTGAAAAGCCTCCAAGTTCAAATCGAAAAGGATTCAATCACAGTTAGTGAGACTCTTGAAAAGGATGTGTTGACAATCATGGGTGGACATAACTTAGAAGCGCACCACACATGAAGGTCTTTTGGGAACAACAAGTCCAGGGGTTTCATCCTCAAGTAATTAGATTTGCATTGTTTATTCATTGCAAGTCTGCTTCTGCCTATAGAGAGCTGAGAGACAGTGGTGCCCTCATATTGCCCAATGAACGAGTTCTTCGGGACTACAGAAATTATTTCAAACCTGGAGCTGGCATTACCAAAGAAACCGTTGAGGAGCTCAAAGAAAAAGCATCGAAGTTTTCTGGGATTCATAATTATGTGGCTGTGATCATGGATGAAGATCCAAGAGAACCTTGTGTTTCACAAGACATCTGGCGAGCTGATTGGCTTCATAGATCTTAGCGATCCTTTAACCACCTTCCCCAATACTGAGGAAGAAACCCCAATTGCATCCCATGCACTGACATTTTTGGTTAGGGGGGGGGGGGGG